TTTCATGATCCACTTTCCATTAATTTCATATTTAACTAATAAAAAGAAAAGAACATTTCTTAAGATTTCTTTAAATAGAATAAAAATTTTAAAAATAAATTTAAATAAAATAAATAAAAAAATTTTTAGGTCAATTTTACAGTTCAATTTCATGATCCACTTTCCATTAATTTTATATTTCACTAATAAAAAGGAAATCAAATTTCATAAATAAATTGTCTTTAAAAAATTAATTAAAATAAAATAAAACTTGAGGTAGGGTTTAGGTTAAACTACAGTTTGCGTATGTAATAGCACCACTAATGTTTCTGCACTGTATTCATTGGTCGGGTTCTGATGGTCTGTTGTTCAGGTGTCCTCACCAGCTGTACTGAAAGAAAGCTGCAGGTGCAAATGAATGAGAGAACATCAGATGACAGACACTCACAGCTTCATAAAGCGTCTCTGAGGACGTCAGTCTCCTGACAATCAGCCGAGAGACACAGATCTCTGAGAGCAGGTAACAGCACATCTCTTTGATACAAGCCCTTAATAAGTCCATTATGTGGGTAATTAAAATGACAGCTCTGCCCTATTTTACACCGAAAAAAGATGTCAAAATCACTACATGTTCTAGATTCATTTGAGCTAATGCACGAGGGATATGAAACCTCTTATCTCTAGTATATCTGGAGTAATGTCATATTCACATTGCCGCAGGATTCATTCTGCTCTGAGCATCTCGAATCATGTCCATCATATGTGTCTTAATAAACCCTCTTAAAGAAATCATTCCTTACATGAAAAATTAAATTAGAAGCAAATCTTAACATTAAAATACTCTGAAAATATGATGCTTCCAGCTTACAGGGAACGTTATCAGAATGTTCTGGAAAGGTTCTCTCAAAGTTAAGAACAAACAAACGTTCTTCAGGAACATTAATAGAATGTTCGTTCAAAGTTATCTGGGCTTTAACAATGCGCTAGCACAACATACACTTATAGATTGTTCATAGAACTTTTTTTTTTTTCTTAAATGTGACCCTGGAGCACAAAAGCAGTGTTAAGTCGCTGGGGTATATTTGTAGCAATAGCCAAAAATACATTGTATGGGTCAAAATTATAGATTTTTCTTTTATGCCAAAAATCATTAGGATTTTAAGTAAAGATGATGTTCCATGAAGATATTTTGTAAATTTCCGACCGTAAATATATCAAAGCTTGCTAAGAACTTCATTTGGACAACTTTAAAGGCGATTTTCTCAATATTTTGATTTTTTTTTTGCACCCTCAGATTCCAGATTTTCAAATAGTTGTATCTCGACCAAATAAATGGAACGATTATTTATTCAACTTTCAGAAGATTTATAAATCTCAATTTCAAAAAATTGACACTTGTGACTGGTTTTGTGGTCCAGGGTCACAAATGTTACTGTTTTTTTTTTTTTTTTTAAATGTTACTGTTTGTTTTAGAATGTTCAGAGAACATTTAAAAGTAACATTCCCATTATGTCTGCAAAAACATTAAATGGAATGTTTCCTTAACATTCCTGTTATGCTTTTAACACATTTAAAAAACTGGACATTTTAAACGTTCACAGAACATTCAGAATGAACGTTTTTATAACTGAATGAGAAGGTTAGCAAAACGTCCATACAGACCATTCTAATTAAATTAAACGGCAAAAAAAAAAAATAATTCAGAAATCGTCATGATTGTGACGCTAAAGAGAAAAGTAACCGCCACATAATTGTGAAAAAAAGCCTTTTCCAACACTTTCTCAGCACACTTGAGTACATGACATGCACACTACACCCTCTAGTGTCTGTCAGGAGAAACACACGGGTGTAATGTGCATCAAAACGGTAGGAAACAGCTGGAGTCTTTTTATGAGAAGCATAACAAGGCACAAAAAAGTCTGAATTTGCCATCAGTTTAACCCTGTAAAGCCTGACATATGAAATAAGTCTCATTTTTAAAATGGAAAAGTTTATTTAACCTTCAGACAAAATCTAAACCAAAAAAAAGTCTGCATATGTGTTTCATGTTTGTAATATATTTGATCCATCAGGCTTTTATGGCTCATATAGTCTGATATAGTGAGAATATGAAGGAAAAACAGTTCAATTTTACTCAGAGACTCAAACTGAGCAAAAATAAAATTTGGTGCAGATGCTGATATTTATATGATCAAAAAGTGATGAAATCCTGATGCTTGTAATGTAAATCAATGAGATCTTTATAACACTATAGCATATACTTATATAACATAAATATCAGCTCTCATTCTATATTTACAATAGTATTTCTTAGTAAGACGATATTTAGATGCTTAGTTTGATGATCAAATCATATAATGCAATGCAATCCAATGTTGATTGAGAGATGAAGAAATAAACGTTCCTCAAAAGCCTGATGATCAGATTTGAGACTCACATTTAAACAAGATTTTATGGAGAATCAAGTAAAGCAAACCTGCTTCAGTCCAGTAAGTGTTCACCTGGAAATATTACTAGCATATCAAATTTATTCTTATGTTTACAGTAAATATTTGACAGCAGACAGACACGTGAAGCACCAGCTGAAGGTGGGCGTTTGTGCAATTATACTGAAGGATCTTTTACTCACTGAAAAACTCGAAACTATCAATCAGAAGACATGGAGGAGATTGTGTGTGAAACAGGTATAACAGCAAAGTTTGATCATGTTGATCATTTAGAGGGCTTGTATCAAGTATGATACAGTAGGATTTTAGGGTTAATCTTATTGCTGTCAAGGAGAAACAATCTCATTTGTGATTTTTCTTGCAGTTTTTTTTGTAAAAGACTAATTTCAATTATTTTTCTCTTTTGTTTGCTAAGAGAGGAACTCTTTTGTCGTTGTTTTGCATAGAGACATGTGACGGGATCTAAATCCAGCCTTGATTTGCATGTTACCATGGGAAGTGATGATCTCAGCCTCTCACAATCATCCCAGAATCCTCTGCTAAACCTCAGATGTCTTCACACTCCTCGCTCTTCTAAAGACAGAAATAAACGTTAAAATCAAGGACAAAGCAAAGCAATACAGCAGCACATTCTGATGGGTAATTCTAAGATACTTTGGTTATTAAATTAATATTTATCAAGCTCCTGTGGCTCATGATCATGCATGCTTGCAAAATCATGAGTTTGATTCTAAGGGAAAAGACAAAATGCATCACTTTAGATAAAAGCATCTGCCAAACACATACAGTAAATGTAAGCATTTTGCTCAGCTGCTTAAAAAAATATGAATGTTTCCAGCTAAAACTCAAACTAGAACACTAGTTCGTGCATTGAAGCTTTCTAGCTCTAGGAAAATGTTGAAAACCAAATTCCAAAAACCCGAATCACTAACCATATTAGTATGTGATATATTTGCCCTATTCACACTGGTGGGAAGCTTATTCAGCAGTTACACCTCACTTCCTGTCTGTACAGGAAACAGTGGGGTCATGGAAGGTCAGCTCACATATTTCCTCCAGGCCTCTGATTCCTCCAATGCTTGGCTTCCTCTCTGAGCTTCCTGATGTTCCCTATTATCTTTTAGTTTGCTCATGTGAGTCCATAGATTCTCCCAGGAAGCCTTTCAAAAACTCTTCATTTGCAAACAGCAGCACTAAACAGAGAGGAAGAGAGTTTCATGACCATAGACAAAAGTGCCTTTCTGTTGCATGCACAAAAATAAATAAAAAAATAAAATAAACAACAAATACAAAAACAAGTAAAAAATAAAAATATAAACAGAAAAAATACATGAATAAATACATGCATTGACTTAAAAATAAAAATAATTTAATCAAAAATTACTTAAAAAATAAGTAAAAAAACAAAAACAAATTAATTATACAGTTGTCTAAAAACCAATTAAATGGTTGGTGTATACATTTGTAATCTGTGTAAAAACTGAATAAAACTGCTTATTTGTTTATTTAACTCGTTTATTTCACACTTCATTTCAGTTATTGTAGTTTTAAAACATGCAATTATATTTTCATAATGCATTTTCTCATTTGAAGACTAAAAATAAGGGGAAATAAGGGTAAAATAATAAAAATATATATAAAAGCATAGCAAAAATAAACAGTGAAAGCACAAACATCCCAGCTAACAGGGAACGTTCTGACAAGGTTCTCTCAAAGTTATGAACAAACGTTCTTCCAGTAACATTAATAACATGTTTGTTCAAAGTTATCTGCTCTTTAACAATGTTCTCAAAATGCACAAAAACATTATTCATACAGAAACTGTGGAACCTGTTATTTCTGAAACACTTTAGTTGGACGTTTGTCTAATGTTTTTAAATGTTACTACTTGTTTCAGAACGTTCAGAGAACATTCAAACGTAATGTTCCAATAATGTTTGTAAAATTATAATTTGAAATGTTACATTAACGTTCATATAACAAAAAAAGTTTTAGAACATTCAGACAACATTAAAGGGATAGTTCATGAACGCGCTTGCATCCGCTTCACGTAAACATGCATAATCACGCATCGTAATTTTGTTTTCTTTGCGCACAAAAAGTATTCTCGTAGCTTCGTAATATTATTGTTAAACCTCTGATGTCACATGGACTATTTTACCAATGTCCTTACCAAGTTTCTGGACCTGGGAACATTTCAGTTGCTTTGCTGTCTATGGGAGGGTCAGAGAGCTCGCGGATTCCATCAAAAATATCTTAAAGGGATAGTTCACCCAAAAATGAAAATGTGATGTTTATCTGCTTACTGTGCGCGCGCCCAAAGCAGTTGGACATAGTGGTGTATTAGACGTAAAAAATGATATAAATACTGTTCGGTTTCTGGCACAAACCGATCGTTTCGTGTCTTAGGACATCAATGTGTCGTCACGAGCCGCAGGGTTTAATTTGGATTTGTCTGTGCATGTTTTTTTTACTCTCATAGATTTTGTTACCATTGCTATGCATTATACGACTGATAGACTGCAACGGTTAAAGTTAAAAATCATCATATGTGTTCTACTGAAGAAACAAAGTCACCTACATCTTGGATGCCCTGGGGGTAAGCAGATAAACATCAAATTTTAATTTTTGGGTGAACTATCCCTTTAATCTGTGTTCCGAAGAAACGAGTTTAAATCAGTTAGTTTTGAATGAAAATCAGTATGTGCCTGTAGTTGAAGAAACAGTCGATATCTTGTGATGAAAAGCATGTAAACACACCCAGCAGCTCTTTGAGGCCCGGAGCTGCAGGAATACGGCAGCGGTGTTTCTAGCGCCCTCTGGCGGCCGCGGCGCTCCTGAGCTGCGGGACTCCTCCCCTAATGCAGACCGAGCAGATCGCTCTTCCTCCGGTGTGTGTGACAGCAGCAGCAGCAGCACTGGCGCATTGTATGTCTTTAATATCCATTTGATTTTTTCCCTCTCACGTTGAGTTATTAATACAACCTGATCTGGTTTCCCTCCCTCTGGACGGACTGCAGGACGGATCGGGCTTCCTAAAAAATGGCCAACAGAGATGATGAATACGATTTCTTGTTCAAAGGTAAATTCTGCATTCCCTTATACAGAGTAATCATTCATAATCCATCCATTGTTCCTGACCTCCAGATCTGACAGGCTGTTGTATCAGGAAACGTCTTTTGCGGTGGCACCCGTCTGAAATCATGGCATAAATAACAGGCTTTGAGATAGAAACGCCCGCAGAGGCATCGATCAGTAAAACATCTGTTTGCGATGGTCTGGATGCTTTCACACGGGATCCCAGGGCCTAGATGATGGGAATTGAACATGCATTATTAAATATATGCCAAATGAGCTGTAGCCCTACATTGAGCTCATGTTTAGAGGCGATTTAAGACTAAAAACGGCACTGCGATCTAATGCTTTTCCAGTGAGACTGATGATTAGAACCAGCTAACAGAGAACGCTCCCATAACTTTCACTAAACGTTAGAGCAAATATTCTTAAAATAATGTTTATGGAACGTTCTTATAGCATTAGGTTAATATGGGATATATACGTTCTCGTAATGTTGAGAGGAAACGTTCTAAGAACATCTGAACAGGACTTGTTCAGAACTATGTTCAGAGACGTTTTTCAGTAATAAGAAGAATAGAACGTTCTCATAACATTTTTTTAATTATATAATGAAATGTTTCTCTAACCAAGAAGAACATTAAAAATTGGGAGTTTTGAACGTTTAAAAACATTCAGAAATAACATTATATCATGATGGTTTCAAAACGATAGAATGGAATGTTCCTCTAACGTAAAAATGGGTCTTTAAATATAAAAGCGGGTTTTTAAACGTTTAGAGAGCATTAGAATGTAACATTATCGTAATGCGTTTAAAATGATGGAAAGGAATGTTCCTCTAACGTTCACATAATTGAAAAAAAACCATTCTTTAAATATAAAAAATGGGTGTTTTAAATATTGAGAGAGCATTCAAATGTAACATTCTCAACAATCGCATAACCAAGAAGAAATATTCTTAATACATTTAAAAAAGCTGGACATTCTGAACGTTTAAAAAACATCCAGAATTAACATTATATCATGATGGTTTCAAAATTATAGAATGGAATGTTTCTCTAACGTTCACATAACTGAAAAAAATTATTTAAATATGAAACATGGGTGTAACATTCTAATAATTTTTCTAACATAACCAAGAAGAAACGTTCTAAATACAGTAAGAAGCTGGAAAAACAGAAAAAAAAAATCCGTTTTCATAACTTAATGGGAATGTTAGCAAAACATGAGTAGAACATTTTTTGTTAGCTGGGTAGGATTGCGTATACTTTTGAAGAAAGCACATTTAGAAGTAACATGCATGATGATAATTAGGCCACATGCTGATTGGTTACATTGTAACTGTCGGTGACTCTGATTGTATCACGTCACCTGATCAAAGTCTGACGCGGCAAATCTGTTACATTCCATTTTCACCAAATCAGCATAGTGTGAGGATCAAAGTTCAACTTGACTTCCTAGTAAAGACGACATGAGGATATCAGACAGCCTTCCTCAGCCTGAGCTGAAGGAAATCAATGCAAACACGTACACAGCTTTAAAGGAACAGCTCACCTGTAAATGAAAACCATGCCATCCTTTACTGACCTTCTTTTTTATATGAAACACAGTATGAGATATGAGAATTTTGTAGACTGTCTGAGCCATAATAAAAGTGAAAGGGATCCTGGGGTAGACTATATGCATCTCAAATCAGATGTATTATATTCCAGATCTTATATGGCCACTAGATCTCGAGTAATGGGCCTTCAAAAAAAAAAAAAAAAGCAAGAAAGTGAGAAAGAGAACTGCAGGATGACTTTTGGTTACACCTGTCAATCATAACTGAATTAAGAAAGTTTACAAATCACAAATATTTTCTCACTGGTCAGTGTGGTCATTAAACCAGCATAATATAGCATTATTCATAATAATATTCAGGATTTGGACAAATAATGTGAACTAGAGCCCGACCGATATGGGTTTTTTGGGGCCGATACCGATATTGGGCGTAAAAAAAGATATAGATATATCGGCCGATATTCTTTGTATATATTATAGTACAGTACCAGTCAAAAGTTTGGACACTTTCCTCTGTCTTCACACACAGACGGAACTTACTAGAGAAGTGTGAAGTGTGACATAATATACCTCTGTAAATAAATATAAATTCA